CCTGATGCTACCAGGCTATTACCATTTGTCCCCTAGCCGGTATCGCCTACCTGCAGATCGGGAGCAGCCCCCCGCATGTTCTCTCGTGAACACGATTTTGGCTGCTATGGGGTTCCCCATATGACTACAATTAGGAGTAGTGGTAGGTAGGTAGTGTGAGGTGAAATTGAGAGTGCTTACTGTAAACTGCAAGTACACGGCCCCAGCCTTACACAAAGTTTTTGTCACTACAAGCAAAACTTGGAGGGGCCGCGCGACGTGGGGTGCCGTTGAAAAAAAAAAATCTTATGCCGTATTCAAGTGGCTTCCTAGGCCACATGCTAGGTCCTCATGTGTCGGCACCAAGGCGCTATTTTCCTTAGTGTCGTTGGCCCTGTAGCGGACCTCTGGTTGGCCTGTGAGAAGCCCCTTGGCCTGTTCTCACAGGCCTGTGTTTTATTCGGGGCAGTCCAGTCCAGGCCGGTACCTCTGTCGGTACCAGCCAGTCTAGTCCAGTCCCATCAGTCCGCTGGGGTATACCCTAGCCGTTGTCTGTTTTCGAGATCATTCTACACTTGCACGATTTTGGAGTACGTGCGTTGGAGTCTTGCGTGGGAGCTGCGCTGTGCCATCTCGCTCCTCCCTCATCCTCCATCTCTATCTGTATCCCAGGTGGAGCACCTTCCCGGTGGGTCTGCTACATTGGTATCGGAGCGGTAACGTTCCCCGCTCCCACCCACCACCCCGTACAACTGGGAATACAACAAACCCGACAACGGGTTTTTTCGCTGTTTTTCGGGTGTTTTCCAGCGAAAAGGAGGGAAAAAGCAGGCAGCTGCAGAAGACAACACGTACGCCAAGGCCAAGGCCGCCGCACGCGCGCGCGCGTCACACGTCCACGCTGCCCCTCCCCGCCCCGCTCCGCTCTGCTCCCGGATTTACATTATGAAGATCCAAGATTTTTGTTGCCACTGGGGTTTGAACCCAGGCGCCTGCTAGGCCATGCGCGTATGTAAGCACCCTGATAACACACTCGCCACAGTGTATACA